GGGCCAGGAATGAGGAACTTCCTGAACCGGGTTCAGTGGGACAGAGAACTGGAAGGGAAGCCAGTAAATGAGATGATGAAATATGTAACAACAATATGCAAGGAAGCTGAGGAGAGGTTTGTACCCAAGGGTAACAGGAATAATGAAAAAGTCAGGATGAGCCCAGGGTTCACCCAAAGGTGCAGAGAGGCAAAAACCAAGTGTGTTACGGAATGGAAGAAGTACAGAAGGCAAAGGACCCAAGAGAATAAGGAGAGCAGTCATAGAGCCAGAAATGAATATGCACAGGTAAGAAGGGAGGCCCAACGACAATGTGAAAACGACATAGCAGCGAAAGCCAAATCTGACCCGAAGCTGTTATACAGCCACATCAGGAGGAACACAACAGTCAAGGACCAGGTAATCAGGCTAAGGAAGGAAGGAGGAGAGACAACAGGAAATGACCGTGAAGTATGTGAAGAACTCAACAAGAGATTCAAAGAAGTGTTCACAGAGGAGACAGAAGGGACTCCAGAAAGACAGGGAGGTGGGGTGCACCACCAAGTATTGGACACAATACACACAAACGAGGAAGAAGTGAAGAGGCTTCTGAGTGAGCTAGATACCTCAAAGGCAATGGGGCCGGATAGCATCTCTCCATGGGTCCTGAGAGAGGGAGCAGAGGTACTATGTGTACCCCTAACAACAATATTCAACACATCTATTGAAATAAGGAGATTATCTGAGGTATGGAAGACAGCAAATGTAGTCCCAATTTTTAAAAAAAGGAGACAGACATGAAGCACTAAACTACAGATCAGTGTCACTGACACGTATAGTATGCAAAGTTATGGAGAAGATTATCAAGAGAAGAGTGGTGGAACACCTAGAAAGGAATGATCTCATCAACAGCAACCAACATGGTTTCAGGGAATGGAAATACTGTGTCACAAACCTACTGAGGTCCTATGACAGGGTGACAGCAGTAAGACAAAAGAGAGAGGGGTGAGTGGATTGCATTTTCTTTGACTGTAAGAAGGCGTTTGACACAGTCCCACACAAGAGATTAGTGCAAAAACTGGAGGACCAGGCACGGATAACAGGGAAGGCACTAGAAGGGACCAGGGAATACTTGTCAGGAAGACAGCAGCGAGTCATGGTACGTGGCGAGGTGTCAGAGTGGGCACCTGTGACCAGCGGGGTCCCACAGGAGTCAGTCCTAGGACCAGTGCTGTTTCTGGTATTTGTGAACGACATGGCGGAAGGAATAGACTCTGAAGTGTCCCTGTTTGCAGATGATATGAAGTTGATGAGAAGAATTCATTCGATCGAAGACTAGGCAGAACTACAAAGGGATCTGGACAGGCTGCAGACCTGGTCCAGCAAGGGAAATCACAAGAAACAACCGAGATATATGTGAAGAGCTTAACCTTATATTTAGGGAAGTAATTTCAATGGAGACAGAAATGACTACAGAAAGCTGGAGTGCTGGGGTACTCAACTATTTTTGGAAACAATATACACAACCGATGAGTGGGTGAAGAGGGTGCTAAGTGAACTAGATACCTCAAAGGCGATGGGGCCGGACAACGTCTCTCCGAGGGTCCTGAGAGAGAGAGAGAGAGAGAGAGAGAGAGAGAGAGAGAGAGAAAAGAGAGAGAGAGAGAGAGAGAGAGAGAGAGAGAGAGAGAGAGAGAGAGAGAGAGAGAGAGAGAGAGATTTCAGGCGCTGTATGTGCCACTAACAGCACATCTTTTGAAACAGGGCGACTACCTGAGGTGTGAAAGGCAGCAAATATAGTCCCATTTTTAAGAAAGGCGACACAGACGCAGCATTAAACTACAGACCAATGTCAATGACATGTATAGTACACAAAGTCACGGAGAAGATTATCAGTAGAAGAGTGGTAGAGCACATAGAAGATAATTTATACACGACAACCAGCATAGCTTCAGGGAAGGGAAATCCTGTGTCAAAAACCTACTGAAGTCTTACGAAAAGGTGATGGAAGTAAGACAAGAGAGAGAAGGGGGTTAGACTGCATTTTCTTGGACTCTAAGAAGGTTTTTTTACTCAGTTCCACGCAAGAGGATAAGACAGGTATAACAGGCAAAATACTTCACTGGATTAGAGAATACCCAACAGAAATGCAAAAACGAGTCATGGTACATAACAAGGTGTTAGAGTGGGCGCCTATAACGAGCGGGGTTCCACAGGGTCAGTCCTAAGACCGTTGCTGTTACTGGTATATGTGAAAGATATGACGGCAAGGATAGATTCAGAAGTATCCCAGTTTCCAGGCGATATGAAGCTAATAAGGAGAATTCAAATAGATGAGAATCTGGCAGGAATCCAAAAGGATCTGGATAGGCTGCAATCCAAGTCCAGCAACTGCACCAGCAACTTACACCAAGTGCAAAGTCATGATGTTTGGGGAAGGGCAAAGAAGACCCCTGACAGGGTTCAGGCTATAGGGGCCAAAGATTGCAAACTTAACTCAAGGAAAAGGATTTTTGAGTGAGTATAATATCAAGAACATCTCTTCAGACGCACATCAACCAAATAACTGCTGCGGCATTTGGTCGCCTGGCAAACCTGGTAGAATTTCATGCCCTTTCGTGATTTCTCACATTATCAAGGAACTATGAAAATCAAAGATTAACTGGAAGGCATATAAGCACGAGACTACACCTCGCGGCCACCTCAGCAACATCTGACTTTATATTCTACCCAAAAATTTAATTTGTCTAATGTATCTTAAATTCTTCCCAAAATTTATTAATTATCTGTCATTGAATCCAATTTGCTTAACCCAGAAGCAATATTCATATTATTATGCCACTTTCTCAACCTTTTGAAAATCAATTGGATGGTTAAAATCTCTTACATAATTAAACAAAGCATTAGAATCTTGTCCACTTCTAATCCTACATTTATGTTGCTTTAATCATAGTTCAAGACTTTACCAGTTTCACGTAATAAACTTTATCACATATTTTACAAGGAATCTTGTAGACGCAACCATCAGTATTTTTGGGAGATTTTTTATCAAAAGTTTTTTTAACTGTATCTAGAGTTTTAAATTCAACTTTCATATTAAAATTCTTTAGTGGAGATGGATTATCATCCAAGTTTTTATGGTAGGAGGAACCAACATATTTTTAGTTAAATAAGGATGGTTGTCCCTTTCTAAGTTTTAAAAAGTGTTTCTAGTAATTTTAAAATATTTATCAGTCAATTTTCTTGGGTATTTTAGATCATTAACTATTTCATAAATTTTCAAGATTTCTTCAAAAAAGGAATTCTGGACTTTTATATACGTAAAGATCTCACTACCATTAACAATACACACAGTTTAACTTTAGCTAGATGTGAAGAATAATAGTGTGAACGTTACTAATGTGAACGTTGTTCTGACTCTTGAAGCAGGAGAATGTGTTTCAGGATCTAATCTCGGCTGGTCGCAGATTGGTAAATGTTTCATTACCACTTGTATAGTGAATTCATTACTATATAAACTGCTTTTGGAGGCTGGTATTCAAAAGAGAGGTGGTTGATATTAGCCTTGAGCTTATCATTACCACGAGTGTCCTCGCATCACGAACAACACCTAGCTCTGCTGGGTGCGTGATCTTTGAAGAATTATTGGTTGAGTGGTTAAGAAATGTGAACGTTGTTCTGTCTTTTGAGGCGGGAGAATGTGTCGCAGGATCTAATCTTTGCTGGCCGCAGTTTGGGAAATGTTTCAATACCACTTGCTTTGGGGTTTCATATATCAATAACAACTCTGCGATTAGCCGGGGGATCGAACCCGAGTTGTTTTAGCCCGCCTCATGGTGAGCGAAAATTCACGACGCTCTTACCCACTGGCAGTAGGATTGTATAACCCAGTGGGTTAGAGCGTCCTGAATTTTCAGTCACCATATGGCGGGCTAAAACAGCACGGGTTCGATCCCCCGGCTAGTCGCAGAGCTTGTATATATATATATGTCGTGCCGAATGTGTAAAACTGGTCAATTAGCAAGAACTCATTTAAAATTAAGTCTTTTCTAAAATTTTCTCTTATACATTAAAGATATATTTTTTCATTAATGTTGATGTAAAAATTCACAATTTTGCACCAAAAGAATCTTAGAAAACTTACCTAACCTTATTATAACAAGCGCAATTTATTTTAGCCTAATCCAAATAAATATATTTTAGATACGTTTACAATAATTTAGTAATAAAGAAACACAAAGAAATATATTTTTTTTTCGTTAGATTCAGAATGATTTTTGCGAAATTATTGCATACACAAATTTTCGCTTATTCTATATGGCAAGATGAGCGTTGCTATTTAAGCCAAGATCGCAAGTTTTACATATTCGGCACGACATATATATATATATATATATATATATATATATATATATATATATATATATATATAATATATATATATAAATAAATGTATGTATGTATATCAATAACACCCCGACTAGCCGGAGGATCGAACCTGTGTTGCTTTAGCCTGCCTAATAGGTAGCGAAAATTCCATGATGCTCTAACCCACTGGACCATACAATCCTACAAGACTCACGCACCCAGCAGAGCTAGGTGTTGTTCCATGATCCGAAGATTTACGATGGTGTGGGTGCCTCAGAGCTAATTTCATTCAACTCCCCGTTTGATGTACTAGCCTCCACAAGCAGTATTTATAGTACTGTAACAACGAATAAGTCGTATTTAATCAATAACAACACTGCGACTAGCTGGGGGATCAAACCTGTGGTGTTTTAGCCCGCCTAATGGTGAGCGAAAATTTCATAATGCTCTAACCCACTGGACCATACAATTCTGCAAGAATCACGCACCAAGCAGAGCTAGGTGTTGTACCGTGATCCGAGGATATACGATGGTGTGGGTGCCTTAGAGAGAGACATAATATATTCCACATAATGTTTTTGTTAACACTCTTATATAATGAAGACAATGCAGACTTTACCAATAACATGGTTATATTTTTTGTGTACAGTATT